CTATAGCTACTTATATTGCTCTTGCTTCTAGAATAATTAAAAAGTGCTACATGGTAGTGTTTGAAATCATTAATATACACAGTAGTTTAATGTAGATCATTTCTATTCTAAGCATACATTCATTTGAAATTGTGTTTTATTTCTCCAAAGAGTTTTTCTACTTTAACAGAGTATTCTTTATATTATATTAGTAAATGGAAATTTGGAATAAAGGAGAAATTCTAGGAAAAAAATAATTCAGAAATTTTTTGAAATAAGGAAATTCAAACCCAGAACCAGGGAACCACATTACATTGCTTTCCAGTGTGATATGAATGAGCTTCCAACTATGAGCTGAAGAATGTTAATTAGAAGGAGTAAGTGAGGCTTAACCTCAGAATCCTCATTTAAGTCTGGCCACTCACAACCCAACCAATTATAAGATGTGATATCCAAAGGCCTAGTATGCTTTCCTACGAGATGCTGTGCAAAATACCCTGCTGCATGAAGTGCTCAAATACAGTCACTGCTGCAAAAGACATAACTCTGCATTAATCTTTTCTTTTCTAGCTTTCAGCATGGCCTTGAGAGGTTTAATAAGAGGTAATAAGTCTCAGCAAGGAAGCCTTCTAACCAATAAATTAATTCACTTGAAAGTCATACTTTAAAAAAAAATCAGTAGTATGTATGCAAAGGGAAGAAAGTACGTTCAGTGCATCTATCTCCATGGCTCTCATATGCCTAATGCTCCATAGTTTCTTGAGAGAATTGTTATCTATAAAACCACTAAGGCAGTTATTGATACCACAAATGTACCTTGATCCAACTAGTTGAAATATACACATGTAACAGATGACTATTTGGAGACTGTAACCATACTCCAGTGATACTTTAAAGCCAATGGTGACACAAACAAAGAGGGTGGGGACTCTCAAGGAAGTAAACCAAAGTGATTCACAACAAGAATATCCAGATAATTGTAAAAATTCAAAATAAGATTCATTCCTGTCTTGAGGATTTCATGTCAACATATAAAACATAAAACAAGGGAAGTCATTGATTCATTCAAAGAAAACAGAAATGGATCAAAAGAATCAAATTAATATCCTTATGAAGTCTAAATCAAAAGAACAGTATCTCACAACATAAGGAAAACTGATGAGTTTTCTGTGAGACCATGATGTGTATCTTTGTGAATCTGTAACAGATCCAAAAATAGACCAAGCATTTATTTTTAGACACTAGCTGATTTGAAAATGCAACATAAAGGATTATCTCCAAAACTGACTATTAAAAGATATTTTTAAGTACAGTACTAATACTGCCTAAAAGTTATACTTTTAGGTATTACACATACATTGAAGTGGATTAAAAATACTGTTTACAGGGAAATTAAACTAAAATACATTTTTAGGTAATAGTTCTTTTACCTTATATAAATAATGTAAACAGGAGCTGTCAAGATGACTTATCTACTCTAATTTACATCCACCACAAGCTTCTTGTCAGTTATATAATGCCATGTCTTAATTCTGGACTTTGAATGGTTAGGAAAGTAAAATGTAACTCTGTAAACATCATCAGCACCAACATACAGCATACCATGCAGGATAAAATGAAGCAAGATCACATTTAAGTCAAGACCAATTCCTTGACTCAACTGTACTCAAATCCCAAATCTCTCTATATTTCTTTCCAAACTAAGAAAAAGAGCTACAATTAAAATTCCATTCATTGTCTTTCCATCACTTAGAACTGACATATAAAATGTCAAAAGTGAAACTCTTCTTATAAATCACATTTTTGTAGAGATACTTCAATTAACTCACTATTTTATTATTTAAAAATATGCCCTACAAATAGCCCATGCTTTGTTCTAATAGCAAAAGTATTGCGAGTTATTTTATCTTACAGGGATACATGCAGATTTTCTAAGGCCAGAAGTATATACAATTTTGCTGATCTCCTTCAAGAAAATCATTTTAAAGTACTTAATGCAAAATTAGGGACAGGACCTTGGAAGGAGTATGTCTAAATGAGGGGCTCTGAAGCCTACATTTCATTGGCTTCTTGGGATATCCAGCTATGCACAGTGGACAATTTTTAATTTTTTATACTATATTTTCTCTATGCTACTACACTGCATTATAAATTACACCAAAATTTGTTACCTCTATTCACATACTACCTTCATTTCCTGGTACTCTTATCTTCAGATTTTTATCTTTTTATAACCTGTATCTCAATTATAAGAAATCAACTACAGGCATACCTGTTTTGTTGTGCTTCACTGTATTGCACTTTGCAGATGCTGCCTTTTTTACAAATATGGTCAATGCTGCAAAAGACATAACTCTGCAAGGTTTGTGGCAGTCCTGATTTTAGCAAATCTATCAGTGCCAGTTTTCCAACAGCATTTGCTCACTCCTTATGTCACATTTTGGTAATTCTTACAGCGTTTCAAACTTTTTCATTATTATATTTGTCATGGTGATCTGTGATCAGTGATATTGACTTGCTGACAACTCAGATGATGGCTAAAATTCTTTAACAATAAAGTATTTTTTAATTAATGTACGTACTTCTTTTAGACATAATGCTGTTGCATATCTGATAGGCTATAGTATAGTGCAAACATAACTTTTATATGCACTGGGAAACCAAAAATTCATCTGACTCACTTTATTGCAATATTCACTTCATTGCAGTGGTCTGGAACCAACCTTCAATTATCTCCAAGCTATGCCTGTATAGGTCAAGGATGCTCCCTTTCTTGGTTAGCATTGCACTCATCTAAATAATGACAAAATAATGAGTTTCCTGAAGACTGATTACAGTTCATGATGAATTCCCTTAAGTTTGGTAATTATACACAGGTTAACCATCTGTTGATATATATCAAATAGCAATTGCGGAAACAATTTTACCGGACACATAGGGCAACCTTGAAATGTGCATATTTTAGTGTTAGAGATACTGCCATATGTCATTAATGTAACCAAATAATCTTTCCTAGCTTTGTGCCAGCAGAGTGGGCAAAATATAGTATAAGCACAGATGCATGTGTGTCCAGGGCACACTCCTAATGTTTACATTTGGTTCTGAAGTCAGCCATCTTTTCTAGGACAAATCTTTAATCTCCTAAAGAAAGACAAAAACAGGATCTATTTCCAGGTGACTAAATGCACCATTTATAATAGTCCAGTTTTCTTCATTTGATCTAAGGAAAATAACATAGTATTTAAAAAAATGGGTTTTAAACATTTTCTGAATTATTCATTATTGTGAAAGGAGAATCAATCCATTTTTAAAATTAAATTGTTTTAACTTTTGGAATCTTTACTACATCTGTTTAATTCACAATTAAATACTTGAGACTTTATGTATACCCCAAAAGTGTACTACATTTGAAAATAGTATATTAGTTATCTAAAATTGTATTGTCCACTTTTACTTTTTGTGCTATAATAAACTCATAGTATGTATATAAACTCATAATATAATATGCACACTGGTATAAGTATATCACAAGTAATAGTTTATATATATATGTATAAAGTATATGTAATTCTAAATACATGAGAAAATTTTTTCACTTAATATAAAAATATACATATATATAAAAGTGTGCAGGAGAGTTTTTCAAAATAGAATCTGCTTGACATGATACAGTTCTGAATAAAAATTATGAATATTGATCCCCTGATGACAGAAACCCTGTGTCTTGCATTGATATATCTCAAAAATATGTTGAAGTATAGCTTGATCTTCCTCGTCTTTTAAAAACATTACTGAGTGACTTTCTGTTTGGTTAAAATGGTATTATAATGGCATTATCAATTTAACAATGCAAAAGTCATTTTTGAAAATGATGCAAAAAATAATATGTATTCTAATTAGCTTGTACAATGATATATTTAAAGAGATGTTAGAATAAAAAATAAACAAGTAAATAAAATGAGGAGACCTATCTGCCACAGTTAATACAAGCATATTAAACTTCAGGAACAGTCAAGAGCTACACAAACCTCTCCATAAGACTTCACCACATTTTTCATTAAATAAGAAAAAACTCAAGAAGAGTTTGCTGGTTTAGATTTTACAGGCCAACTTTTAAAAAGCAGGGATATAAAGGAAACATATTTTTAACTCTCAAAACAGTATAGTGGGGAGCAATGTGGATGAATAGATACAGAAGTAGAGACTACAGGATCAAATTTTGAAAACCATATGGTAAGAGAAAGAGGAAGGATTTTGTATGATTATGTATTTAAAGACCTAAACACTAGGTTTGGCTGAAAAAAAAATGTCAATCTCAGATATATATTAAATGTTATCAAGAGTAAAAACTGAAATTAGTGAACTGGAACTGCCTCAAATTATAAATCATCAATCATTTACTTTGGTCAGTTTCTATGAACTCTGTATCCACTGCTAATGATTTTAATGAGTGTTATTCTTTCAAAAGTTCTTGTTTTAAAAATTAAAGGATGAAACATACTCTGGCTGTGACTGTTTCATCTTAGATGTGTATAAATAGTAGTAAACAAATTTCATCATTATATTACTCATCTGAAATGTCAGAATATTTTATAAATTCAGTATAATGACATCTGAATAACACATCATGAAAGCTTCTCCTTTTTCAGTGAATTTGTTATCAGTTATCTCTTTTGCAAGTTGAATGATACTTAAGGTGAGGAAATTACTGACACGGTCTAGATATAGAAGTAGAAATGTTTTAGAAATATCAGTTGTAAATCTTATTTAGCAGTGACATTTCTTCCTCAATTTTTATGTAAACATATGCCTTTTCCTAATTGATCTGGACAGTTTGATTCAAAGAGATATTTTTAACAGAATATAAAATATATAAAGGAAATGTACAGACTGTCAAAATTCATCATAATGTAAAAAAATACATGAAATAAAAGAACTGCTCTCAATTCCTAACACTATACAGATATGATTATAGTTGGGCATAATATTTTGGGCATTTTCTTTCTTGATGATATCTCCATAAGACTTCACCACATTTTTCATTAAATAAGAAAAAACTCAAGAAGAGTTTGCTGGTTTAGATTTTACAGGCCAACTTTTAAAAAGCAGGGATATAAAGGAAACATATTTTTAACTCTCAAAACAGTATAGTGGGGAGCAATGTGGATGAATAGATACAGGAAGTAGAGACTACAGGATCAAATTTTGAAAACCATATGGTAAGAGAAAGAGGAAGGATTTTGTATGATTATGTATTTAAAGACCTAAACACTAGGTTTGGCTGAAAAAAAAATGTCAATCTCAGATATATATTAAATGTTATCAAGAGTAAAAACTGAAATTAGTGAACTGGAACTGCCTCAAATTATAAATCATCAATCATTTACTTTGGTCAGTTTCTATGAACTCTGTATCCACTGCTAATGATTTTAATGAGTGTTATTCTTTCAAAAGTTCTTGTTTTAAAAATTAAAGGATGAAACATACTCTGGCTGTGACTGTTTCATCTTAGATGTGTATAAATAGTAGTAAACAAATTTCATCATTATATTACTCATCTGAAATGTCAGAATATTTTATAAATTCAGTATAATGACATCTGAATAACACATCATGAAAGCTTCTCCTTTTTCAGTGAATTTGTTATCAGTTATCTCTTTTGCAAGTTGAATGATACTTAAGGTGAGGAAATTACTGACACGGTCTAGATATAGAAGTAGAAATGTTTTAGAAATATCAGTTGTAAATCTTATTTAGCAGTGACATTTCTTCCTCAATTTTTATGTAAACATATGCCTTTTCCTAATTGATCTGGACAGTTTGATTCAAAGAGATATTTTTAACAGAATATAAAATATATAAAGGAAATGTACAGACTGTCAAAATTCATCATAATGTAAAAAAATACATGAAATAAAAGAACTGCTCTCAATTCCTAACACTATACAGATATGATTATAGTTGGGCATAATATTTTGGGCATTTTCTTTCTTGATGATTTCTTGATGATGTCTTCTATGGATACTGAAATTTGAAGATTTAAAAATGTACTTATTTAGATACATTTATAAAGGAGTAAATTATTAGTGAAACAACTGATTGTGCTTAAGAGGATTTAATACCAAACTGACTATTATTTGCTCTAAAAAAGGTGTTAAATGCTTTCCTGCAAATGGGCTGCCATGAAAACAAAATGGCACATAACTGTGGAACTTCCTGATAGAGTGGAAAAAAAATCCTAACATAATAAATTCTCTAGGATTTTTACTCAAACATAATTTCTGGATTTGTCTCATAAGCAATAGTCCCTACAAGTTCTTCTGATTAAAATTAGGCATCCTCTTTGTTCTTTGTTTAAAATGATTTAAGTATAATCCATTAAAAGATAAGTGATATCTAAGTTGTTACCTAGAGGGAAGCAATGCAATGCCAATGTAAAATACAATGTCTTTCTTTCCTCCATCTATAATGATGACATGTATTTTTCACAGTATAGTCATCTACAGTATGTAAAAAGTATTTTTATAAAACTCAGATGTACAGAAAACATCTCAGTCTTCAATTTGAAAGTTCTTAGCCACAATAAGATATGTTATAGAGAAAAACCACAGAAGCAATTGTCCATTCCGTAACCTTTCCCTCTAACCTTGATGAGTAGGTATCAGGAACTCAGGAATCATGTGAACTCGGGGTATAATTGCATATCAGCCCCCTTTAACTACATGGAATTGTAACTAAACTCCTCAGAAACCAGTTTGAATACACTAAATAATATTAATATAAATGACTGATTCCTTTAGTCCATCACTAAAATTGCAAACTTTTGGATTTCATGAAATGAAGTCAAGGTCCGTATTTTGTTTCAGCCCTTTGGGCAGAGGCAAGACCAAGGATAAATAGCCAAGATTTCAAACGCAGTAATTCATAATTTATGACAATCTTCTTCTGGTACAACTTCCAGTATTATTTGTAATGTTCTGGTTATACTGTCTACAAAGAAAGAGAGAAGAGAAATTTAAAATGCACAGAAATCATAAATGCATGAAAATAGCAAAATGTGAATTATGTGGGGTTGAATACTGAAAATACATAACCGCCTATTTCATAGAGCACTTTCAAGAATTATTTACTTCATTAGAATCCCATCATGCTCAATTAATTTATTTGTCACTTCTGTAACTCCCCATGATGGCTTCTCAGCAAGAATAAGAATACATTAATATTTTGTATTCAAATAAGGACTTTTATTCATGAACCAGGAGGCTGAGAATATTTTGAGAACATAAGACCAAGAAATAAATAAATGTTCAAAAATAAACTTCATATTCAGTTTAAAACTGATTTGTTGTTTTGGTACCTATGAAATTACAACCTCAGCACAATCAGAAGAAGAATCAGAATATAATTTCCAGTCTCAAACTTGTAGTGTATTACTGAGCAAAACATTTTATCTCCCAGGACCTCACTTGCCTCATCTGTAGAATAAGGGACTTGTGTGAATCAACAAATGGAGGGCTAATAGGCCCCAACATTCATCTTCTCCACAAAAAAAATAAGAATAATAAACAATTAATTAATTAATAATTGAATAAATAAATAAATAAGCAAGCTACACACAAAAAAGCTAGTGGAGCTCAGAAATCAAGAACGGCCACATAGAAAAGCAAAGGAAGCATTTTGCCTGCAGCATCCCATCTCCCAGTCAGAAGCTACTGGGAAGAATTCTCTTGGAGAAAGTGCACTACACATAGGGGAGCAGGAGGCCCAGCAAGCCTCACGATTGGCGACAGTTACAGTTTTTGCTACAGAGGTCTCCCGCAGTCTTCCACGATCCTGATGCCAGCTGATGGAGCAACCTGGAGTGCCCCCTCTCTGCACCTTTTCCCAGAAGCTGGAGCCTTTGCTGAGATGAGACTCACCTGCAGGGGCCCGTTTGCTGCTGTACCTATGTTCAGCACATCACCACACAGGAGGTGGGAGCTGCCACTTCGCTTTGCCCACTCTGGCCACAGGTTGGGACACTGTCACACTATCAGGCAGCTCCTCGTGAGCTCTTCTCCCAGGTCCCAAGTCATGCTCTGACTGCCATTATTGGGGCCATGCTGCTGCCCTGAGCACCCCTGGGCCTCAATCCTAGGACAAGATTCTCAACTGTTATTCCCAAAACTGGCTCTCGATGGCCTGAGTCCTACTCCCTGGATTCCAGCAGCTCTGATCTGTCACTGCCCAGGACACTACCACTACCTGGAGCCCCACCTCCATGACAGGCTCAGGTTCAGACCTGTAACTGCTGTACCTAGGGACTGAGCCCTGTCCCTGCCCCCATGGAGGGATGGCTATGAACCATCCTTGCCTGGGTGCCACCATCCTTCCAGGCCCTCCCCTCAGCCTTCAGGTCAGGGCTCTGGCTCACCAACACCACACAAATCTACCACTGCCCTGAATCCACCCCCAGGTTCCAGGCTGTGGCTCTGAACTGCCATTGTCAGAGCCATGCAGCACAATTACTGGGCTGTGATACCAGTGCATTCTGCACCTGGGCCCTTGCTACACTGCATTCCCCCCGCCAGCAGGCACCACAGCAACAAGCCTCTGAGACCCAGGTACCAAGGATATCTTCACATACCTACACCCCAGAGACCACTGCCATGGCCACAGCAAGCGTACCTATGCCCAAGGACCTAGGTGCTGTGGTAGTTCCATTGACAACTGATCCTACGACACCAGCTCCAGGACTGCTGTGAGGGCTCTGCGTATCATCGGCACACCAGACCAGATGTCTCCTTGTCTGGGACTTCCTCCCATGGAAAATAAGAGTGGGGAGAACAGGAAGACCCCAGCAGCCTTAGCCTCCAAAGATCCCAATAGCCCACACTTGGCATTGTCACCTACAGGTCCTCTGCAGTCTTAGCATGGAGACTACTCTACTGGACCTTCCCAGAAACCAAAGATCCTGCATCCCACAGCTCTTACAGGAGATGCTCTTACAGCCACCTCCAGGTGAAAGTCTTTCCCTACTGAAGCCAGTGATAAACGGGGAAGAGGTGACTGCACTCTCAAATGCAGACATCAAAAAACCCCATGAGAAACATAAAATAACAATGAAACATGACACCACTAAGGGACAGAATAATTCTCCAGTAACTGAGTTTAAGGAAATGGAGATCTGAGAATTATGAAACATGACACCACTAAGGGACAGAATAATTCTCCAGTAACTGAGTTTAAGGAAATGGAGATCTGAGAATTATGAAACATGACACCACTAAGGGACAGAATAATTCTCCAGTAACTGAGTTTAAGGAAATGGAGATCTGAGAATTATATAAAAAAGAATTCAAAATAATGATTTTTAAGGAAGCTCAGTGAGATTCAAAAGAACACAGATAAATCAATTAACTCAGAAAACACTACATAAACAAAATAAGAAATTCAGCAAATAAAGAGAAATCGTAAGAAATAACCAAACAGAAATTCTGGAAGTGAAGAACAGAATGAATGAAATGAAAAATGCAATAGATGGCTTCAACAGTTGGCTCAATCAGGTGAAAGAAAGGATCTGTGAGCTAGAAGACAGATCTCTTGATATTATCCAGTCTGAGGAGTATAAAGAAATTAGAATGAAAAGGATCAAAGAAAGACTATGTGAACTGTAGGACATAATCAAAAGAAACAATATCCACATTATGGAAGACCTAAAAAATAAAAAGTAGAAAGAACAGAAACATTTTTTTAAATGGCTAAAACTTCCCAAATGTGAGGAGAGATGTGGCCATCAATGTATAGAAAGCTCAAAGATCCCCAAATTCAACCCGAAGAAAACTTTACCAAGTCACTTTATAATCAAACTCTCAAAAATCTAAAACAGAATGGATAAAAAACCAAGATCCAACAATCTACTTCCAAGCAAGATTCAACAAAAAAAGGTATAGGAATCAAAACAGTTTGGCACTGGTATCAAATTAGGCACATAGATCAATGAAATACAGTGAAGAGTCCAGACATAATCCTCCATTTATACAGTCAACTAATTTTTGACAAGGGTGCCAAAACATCCAATGAGGAAAGGACAGTCTCTTCAATAATGTGCTGGGAAAACTGTACATCCACATGCAAAGGAATGAAACTCATCCTCTAATTTATGCCACTCACAAACATTAATGCAACGTGAATCAGATTTAAATGTAAGACCTGAAACCAAAGAACTACTAGAAGAAAAGAGAGGGAAAAAGATCCTTGACACTGGTTTAGGCAATTATTTCTTGGATAAGTCACCAAAAGCACATGCAACAAAAACTAAAATAAGTACGAATACACTTAAGAGCTTCTGCATTGCAAAAGAAACAACCAATAAATTGATGACAACTTAAAAAATGGGAGAAAATATTCATAACCCATATATCTAATAAAGAATAATAACCAAAAAATATAAAGAACTCATTCAACTCAATAGTAAATAATAATAATCTATTTAAAAAATGGGCAAAGAACCTGAATAGATATTTTTCTGAAAAAGATGTGTACAAATGGCCAATAGACAAATGACAAGGTGTTCAAGATCACTAAACATCAGGAAAATGCATATCAAAACCACAATGAGATGTCATCTTACACCTACTAGGGAGGCTTTTATTAAAATAATAAGAGATAAATGTGGGTGAGGATATGGAAGAAACAGAATCCTTATACACTGTTGGTGGAATGTGAATTGGTACAACCATTATAGAAGACAGTTTGATAGTTCCTCAAAAAATTAAAATTAAACTACTGTATGACACAGCAATCCTACTACCATGTACCAATATCCAAAGGAATTGAAATCAGTATCTTGAAGGGACATTTGTACACCCATCTTTATTGTAGTATTACTCACAATAGCTAAGATATGGAAATAACCTAAGTGTTAATGAAAGAATGGATAAAGATGTGGTTTGTGTGTGTATGTGTGTGTGTGTGTATACATATATATATATATATATATATATATGTTTATTTATATAGACAGACATGCACATACATTGTGGAATATTATTCAGCCACAAGAAAGAAATCCTGCCATTTGCAACAACATGGGTGGACCCTGAAGATACACTAGGTGAGACACATCAGAGAAAGAAAAATACTGTTATCACTTATATGTAGAATCTAAAAAACTGAACTTATAAAAAGAGTAAAATGGGGATTAACAGCAGCTGTGAAGTTGGGGAGATATTGTTGAAGGGTACAAGCTTACAACTAGTAAATAAATAAATTATGGAGATCTGATGCACAGCATTGTGATTACAGTCAATAATACTGTACTATAAAAGTTGCTAAGACACTAAATTTTAACTGTTCTCACCATAAAAAAGTAACAATAAATATGTGACATGATCATATTGCAACATATAAGTGTATCAAACAGTGTGTTGTACAATGTTATATGTCAATTATATCTCAATAAAAATATAGATAATTTTAACAAAAGAAGAATTAGTGACTTGGACAAGATCACTGGTTCTCAGAGTGCAATCCCAGGACTGGCAATATTAACAACACCTGAGACATTAGAAATGTACCTTTTTAAGACCCATCTTAGACCTACCAAAATCAGAAACTGAAGATGGGGCCCAGAAATCTGTGATTATAATAGACACTAAACTGCAGGAATGACTGGGCTAGATGATTTCTAAGGTTATCTTGGCATTCCTAGAACGCTGTGACTCTAGTTCCCCAGGATATTAGTTCTTGTTCATCACTTATTTTATAATCCATCCAGAACCTCTTCAAACTTCTACTGGTCCTGGAGCCTCTAGCACTTATCTTCTAGACGGTCTCAGACCCGCATGACCTCTCTCCGAGACATGTAGTCTTCCTCCTCTTGTATGACTTGTCACCTGTCATAGTCGTTTCCAAGTAATGGTTAATGCCACTAAAAAATGTATGTTGTTTCATCCTTTACTTTATAATAGTATTCCTCAAAGTTGTTTTCTTTAGCACAATTTTTACAACATACATTGATTATAAAGGGTCCAGCATAGTTTTGGCAAATATTAAACTCTATGTCAATGTTTCTTGAATAAATTATATTTTGTCACCATCCACTGTAAATTGAGATGTACATGGAGCCCAAGGGAGCACTTACGAACATCTAAAGTCCATGTTTATGGAAAAGGAAAATGGTAAAATTATCCCAGAAAAATAGACTGTGGAAAAGTAATTATCAACCAATAGTAAGGGAGATGTGATTTTTGTAGGCAGAGAAGTAATTAGGGTTCTCTGAGAGATTGAAACAAGAGGTCTTGAAACAGGGAGTCTTAGGTGTCTGTGGTGGCCAAATGTAAAGCAGTGGGGTTAACCTCACAGACTCTCCAGCCCTTTCTCCCTGGAGCAATCATGCCATAGCTACCTGAATGGATCTCCACAATGACTTCCTTCTATGTGTATGTGACTCTTTTCATATGTTTTACTGAGATTTTTCCTTTTTCCTAATGCTGCCTTTCTTTGGCAGCATGTGCTCCTCCATACGCAAACAAAGACCTCTCCAAAGGTGTGTTTCCATATTCTGGAACCCCTGGCCCTACGCTTTCTTAGGCATCTTACCCATGTCACCACGCTGTACCAGTCTCAAACAAAGGGAGAGCAACTTAGAGACCCTGCTGCCTTCCCAGTGTTACATTCTCCTTCTTGATAGTTCAGTTGGGATCTTCTATTTAGTATTGCAGATGAGCCAACCATTCTTCCTCTGGTTCTGAACACCTAGTCCTTTGTCCCTCTACACATCCAACCAGCCCTTTTTGGCATTCTCCTATGGCTTTCTTATGGTCTCTCTTAGAATCTCAAGATTTAAATAACTTTCATCCTAATGTAGGTCTGGGCAGAGTGACTATATTGGCTGAATAGATGTTACAGTCACACTAACTTTTCCTTCTAAGTTATCTACAGCCATAAGGCCATATGGGAGTGATCAAAAGACCCAAGTAATCCTCTGAGAAATCTTCCTGCTTGCCCAGGAAAGTTGCACAGTATGTGGCATTCAACGGCATCCATGCTCATATAAGGCTTTGGCTTTGGGGATAATCAGCCCCATGATACTAATTCTTTAAATAAAGATAAACCAATAAGTCTGCATTTGGTATTTTCAGTAACTGCAAGCTGTAAGACCAAATATGAATTGTAGTGTTTTCAGCTTTACCTTTCATGTTCAGTAGTTTTTCTTGAAATCAGTTGGAACCACCACTGACCTTGTAAACTCTGATTTATCCAACCACACCTGGTACAAGCATGGAAACTATAGCCAAAACTGAGTAAAGCTGTGAAGTATTAGCACAACACCAGTCTTCCCCAGAAATAAAAATAAGAATAGTAGTATTTTTTTCCTTTAAGGCTTCAAAACCTTTTCACATGCATGGTCTTCTTTTACCCTTACAGTGAAGATGCTTTGGGCCCCTAAGAAATTAGTTTTGCCCCTAAGACAAGCTTCACTAATTTGAAATAGAGCACTGCAGTCTTCATGAAGAGTCTACCAAATGCATAAGTGGCTTGCAGTGAGGTATCCTAAATGAAGTTATTGTGACACACAGATGCAGCATATGCTTTCAGGATTGTCGAACTGCAACGTCACTGTCCAGAAAGATGGACTACAATTCACCCCGCTCGTGCTACCCACTATGCACCTTTAGAATCAAAGTCATTGGGTAAGTATAGCTCCCTCCATATCTCACCCTGAGCAAGGGGACCAACTTCCAGTCACTCCACCCAGTCTCAGCTGTGATGGGGTTTGACTGATAAATCGAAGCAGCCAAGCAAAGCAGCTGCTGCGAGCTCTGGCCGGAGTTTGCCAAGTCTAGCTATCTCCATGATTTTGAGTACCTTAGTGGGGTATCTGCCCCCATATTTCTTGGTGAGAAGCTCATGTTTCTAGAAGTAAATAAATAGCCAGAAGAATCCACCATTCTGTCACAGATGGCAGAAAAAAGCATCTGTGTTTCTGACTATTCCCTTAAGAGCACATTTTCTTTTCACGCTAGGAATGTATCAAACAAAATGTGGTTCAATACTGGCATCCTGTGGCCAGAGAAATTCATCAAGTCTCTGAAAATCTCAGATCCTCAGGTCCTGAAGGTTCCCTGGCTATCTGACCCGAGTAGCCTCTCACCATTTCTGAATGCTGTTTGGTTACCTCACTTTTTTTAATGGAAGCAACCTAGGTAAGATGTATTTTGATAAATTATCATTTCACAGGACTAATCTGTTCATGTATATTAGGGTGAAAATAAATGATAAGATAAAGGCTAAATAATGTTACCTAACAAAACAATTTGATATTAAATCACTGAACAAAATGCTCCAAGCAGAGGCTCTCTGGCCGCCAAATTCCCGCTGAGTTCCTCTCTAACAACGAAGAGGCAGTTGGGAGAAGCGGTGAGGTGGTGGTTCAGGACTCTGCGGTTTTGTGTGTCTGTGTGTGTGTGTTGTTTTGGCCAAAGGCTAGGAAAATACTTGCTATTGCAGCAATAAATATTATGAATTTTCTTTATTTTACTACAAGAATGCTGCCTAAGAGGAAAATCAAACAAAATTATGGAGGATTGTTGCTTTTTGCTACTCACTTTCAAAACAGCAATAAAGATAAAGGGTTACAATGATGGCAGTTTAAAGGCAGAATTGCCATGCTCCCTGGTAAGGTTTAATAGCATTTGAGGGAACCAAATAACCATTATGGGACTACTACATTGCTGCTACTTTCACAAATGGCTAACACTAAATTTGGGGCCCTTGGAGATGTTCAAAACATCATTAGAGATAAAAAATAACAAAAAATTTCAAAATTACATGAGCATGGAAAAACATCAAAGAAGGATAGAACATGAAAGCTGGTAGTTGATACCCACTGACAAGGAAATGGTTCAAAATATGTACATTTTAGCAAAAGGAAAGACTGTTTACAGGTGGATGGCTACAAACAGGAGGAACAAACTGCCTACGAAGTGAGAGAAAACAAGGAATTTGCTCTTTAATTATGCTCCATCCCACTGTAATCCAACTAGAGTGCTACTGGTTCTTTCTTCCTAAATTCTCTTGGTTTTTCATGGTGCTCAGGGCTTTCAACTATCCCTAACCAGGATCTGAGAAAGACACAGACATCAACATGATGAGCACTAATCTGAACTAACCTTGGCAACAAGGAAAACAATCATAATGGTAAATATTGTTTAACAATAATTTTTATTTTCCCCAGAAAAGGCTCTGTATCTTTCACTTATAACAGAGAAAATGTACCTAAAAGTATTCTGCAGAAAATTAGTGTTATCTAAGAAGAAACAAAGATAAATACACTGTTAGGCAAACAGTGTCTATGTTAGCCTTAAAGAACCTAACTTTTATAGTAATACTTCTTTGGGGAATAGTGTTGATGACCAGAAAACAAATTCAGGTATAAATAGTAGTATAAAGTCTAAAGATAACAAATACTAATTAAAAGCTAACAAAGAGTAGTGGCAAACTCTATTTTAAGTGACTAGTTTCTAAATGAGTCTGGGTAGCACAATAGAGATTTAATATGTACACAAAGTTGTTCTTATTTCATTTTGTTTTAGTAGCACTGGAATTATGTATTAAGAGTTTTACCAGAAATCTCCCTGAACTTTTTACTGGGCTTTTAAAAATTAATTATGGTAAAGTGAGTAAACTGGAATGAATGAGAAGAACATAAGTTGTTTTTGAATCTCACCAAATTCACCAGCATGAACATTTCTGCTCCTCTGGCTATATTTTTTATCTCTCACTCTCTTCCCCCAGGCACTGATCTGGAAAAAGCATGGACTTTGATGTCCAGCAGATGTGGGTTGAAATCCTAGCTCAAAGTTTTGAAATATGTACACCCAAAATAACTTCTTCATCTCCCTGAGTCTTGGTTTCCCCATCAGCTCATAGACCACCAACCACCTCCCACACGGATCACAGATCTTGCGCAGGACTAAATGAGATGACCCAAAGTTAAGGCTTGCTTAGCAAAGCCCCTGACAGGGGCTGTTCCTGAACACCGTTTCTACCTACTGTTTTACTATATTTTCTCCTCTCCCAGTTTACCTGGTCACCAAGCCCTGTTGGTTTACCTCTTTAATATCTTTCGTGTTCTCTGAGACCCTCCTGATACTGCCTGTGATCAGACCCTCCTCAATTCTCATCAAGATTAGTACAGTAACCACCAATCTCTATTCTCTGTCTTCAGCCTCAAACATCTCTAATCCAGCTCCACTATCCCCAGGATGACTTATAAAATACAAAACCACCTGAGTTTGAATTCTAGCTCTTTTATTTAACATCTGCATGAGTGGGAGCAACTTACATGAATTTTCCCATGCCATAACTCAAAATGTATAAAATGGGGATAATAATTTTTCCTACTTCAGAAGGCTGTTTTGAGGATTCAATAAGACCCTATATGTGCTAACACATGGAAATCACAGGATAAATGTGACCTTTTATTTCTTTCTTGATTGTCCTTGCTATTCTTATGACCCTTCTGTGAGTCACCATGCCAATCAAACAGGTAGTGTTATAATCACTATACTTAAGACCTTTGCACGTCTCTGTTTTACTCCTCACCAAATCTCATGTCACTCATCAAGTTGTATGTTATGATATAAAATCAATGAGCTGCATTCAACCCAAAATAAAAATAACTGGGTTAGTAAGGGATTCAGAAGAACAATTAGGTCACTTACAGAACTTCTGATACAATTCTATCTAAAAAAGTTATATTTCTAAGAAATAGAGCAGCTCAAACTAAATATCCTGAAAGGATTCAGTGGCTGTACCCTAAACATCTATCCTGCTTTTTCTTCTCCTAGTTCTAATTTAAATGTAGTCATTTTTTTTCGAACTAGTAATTGCCCCACTTACATTTATAACCTTTAATGTGCACATTATATATTTATATATGGATGGGTTTTCTACAGCAGTCTCTCAAAAGGTCGTGAAATTCCTTCCGAGTCTTACCTGACATTCTTCTAAACCACTTGGGTTTCTTGTCCCATATAATAAACAGATAGTATGCAGGGACCCCGGTCAGCGTGATGATGAAGCCAATCCCTGTGCTAAATGGGTCCGAGTAAAGGGAAAGGGCCACCATGAAGAGGCAAGTGAAGGAGAACAGAGCTGGGATGAAGAGCGGCACCTGGAACACAGCACAGGAAAACCACTTCAGAGCTCACGGGACAGAAGGCGGATTCAAAAACGCGAATCAGTCATGCGATTGGGTGATACACTTTGGTCATGTGACCAGGTGACAGGCCCATTCTACCTTACCTTAAGAGCAAAATATCTTTGCTAGGCCATAATGATTTAAGCACACACTCTGAAGTTAAAAAAAAAATCTTTGGATTGCATAAAATCTAAGGATAAATAAGTATGCTTCATTAGAACTGTTATGTTTACTAATACCATTATGATTTATGTTTTTAATTTTAAAAAATTGACTCTGATAATTATTATTAGAATGCATTTTAATGCAGAGACAAGAGCATGGCTGCTTGCTGCCTGTTAAAGCCTTTCAGTGCATATAGATTTTCTGTTGGCAATTCACAGTAAGAACTGACAGGATGAAACAGGCCAACTCCTATTCAACCGCTAATAAAAATGTTGCCAGCATTAGGCAATGATATAATTAGAAACAAATTCTGACAACATGACTAACAACATTATCTATGTTATTTCTTAAAAGCAAATAAATAGGGAGATCAAATCAAGCCATGAACATTTAAGGCTAAAGAAAATGTGGAGCATATTCGTCAGCCCTCCCAAAAGGAAGTTATGGCTAATGGGTGTTGTAATAAGTGGATGAATTTATACATCTTTGTTTCCCTATATATTTTACATTTTTGTTCCTTCTGAACTGCATAATGTAGAAAATGAGCAATACAGCAAGTCAAAGCATTGAAGAATACTTTAAGTGACTGTTTTGTAAAACAGCCGCCGTTTAATAGTTTCAGTGAGCGATGATTAGTGATCACTTAGGTATCTGCCTCACTCCTCAGTATGGCTGGTCACAACTATTCAGCACAAAGACAGAAGCATCCCCTAGTTGGACCTTATCATATCATTAGACATATTCATGAAAAATCAGTATAAACATCCTATCTTACTACCACCACTTTTCAAAAATGTGACATACAACGTTCCATACATTACATAAACAATTTTATGAACTATTGTTCCAAGCTAAAATAAATCTGAAAGGAAGACACTAAACTGCAAGAGGTAAACTTGTTATCACAGAGGATACTGTCCCCAACCCAAACTCTCATCATCAAGTTATTACAAAGCTAAGATGAGGTATTATGAGAAAGATTTATGTAAACACATCAAGATTGCTGAGGTTACCTTGAAAGGACGATGCATATCTGGGCGTTTGTATCGAAGATAAATCAGCCCAGCAACCGCCAGCCCAATAAAAAGCCACCTGGCAAAACTGAGGAAACTCAAAAGACTGTAGAGGTCCCCAGAGAAGAGCATTACTATTGTCAGAGGATGCTGGGGGACAGTGAGAAAAAATACACTTGGTGAGTTAAAGAGAACACACGTGATAACAAACAATAGCACCACTACACCTTATCATTACCTTTTGCAAATGATTATTTATACTGATAAACCACTGACATGATTAAAACCTATATTCGACTAACCTCCTAGCTATAGTCCATTCTTGTACTCCCTTTACATACTGGAAACACTATGAGAGTGCCATCAGCATTACCACTAATTCAGACAGAAGTTTATGTGTGTGTTTTGTTTTTAGTTGTTCTTACATTTAGAAGAGGAGAATGTGTTTTCAAAGAGCAAAATATAGGATACATATTGACTCAAAATTTAAAGACCCAGAGACTGAGGTGATTAGTAAATACCTAACAATAAAAATAAAAAATGCACCCAATTAGAAAATTCACAGAAAGCTCTGCAAATGTTTTTTGATAAGCTTTTGGCTATGCACACACATGAAACAGCCACCTCCAGGTGACTCTGCGTCTCCTTAATGCAAAACATTGGCCTTTCCTGCCTCCACACTTACTCTCCGGTGTGCTTGCCACGTGTGACCCTCAAGACCACAGAAGAGAATGAAGCACAGAGTTCAGCACAGCAAGTCGCTGTAGCTGCACATGCCAAGGACAGCATGACTGATAGCAGAGACTTAAAATGAAAGCCCTCTTCACCAAATTATACATTCTGTTCCCATAAGTGAAGTTAACTTCCAGATTCTGCACAGAGAGTACACGTACTTTACAAAGAAATTTCAAGGAAACGTTTTGGAACAAATTAAATGCACGAGGAAAAAAAAGGTTCAGTGCATTCTATAGTGCTTCTGACAGCAGACTCCATTTGAGAAAAATGTTACAAATAGTAGGTAAAAATGAATATAACATTGCCAATGGGTATTTGAGGACTTTTTTACCTTACATCGTCTTTTGCATCCCACATTTCACAATTACTTTTCTCTGCAAAAAGAATTCTACAACTGAAATTTAAGTTTGAGGCTTTTATTTCTTCCCTTTGGGGTTGGTCTCAAATGCCTCACTTTTAATCACAGAATCACTGCACTATTTTTTTCTATATTTTGTGTGCATTTCATTATTAAGGGCCTGTGATGAGACATCTGGGTATTTTTGGACTGCAGCTTTTAGCTCCACACTCAGCAAGTAGAACTGGGACTTATTACTCTGCATTCTTTCCTGTGAGGCTCTATGTCAATACCAGGAGTCAAGGTAATCACTTCCCTTAGACCCCACAGATTTCCACAAAGGTGAAAAAGAAGTGATATGGTTATTATATCACAGAATCAAATATACATCAGAAATACACAATGAAGGGAAGTGATGGAAAATATCCTCCTTCCCAAACTCCACCAATGTATACACAGAACCAGTTTAGCAATGAAAGAGAAAGTGAAGCACTATCTAAAATCTGGTTTGACATCCTCTTTGCTAACCTATTATTTAAGATTATATCTAAATATAGTTGTTAAAATGCATTACCAAAACAATAACAGCTGGCAGAGGTGTGTGCTTGCGGACATGAATCATGGAGAGGATTTCTGGAAGGTGACCCTCTCGAGATGCAACATAGAATAACCTGATGGAGAAGAATGCAGGTGGAGTTGAGTGTGTAAGTGATCATTTCAAAGGGAAAAATCCAGAAATCTAAGAGAAACTTCCATCTTTTTCCTACCAAGTAGCTTGGCATTTCTTCAGTCATTACTTAGATTTCAATTTTCAAATAAGGTAGAGAACACCCTGAGAAATCAGACTTAGAATTTTCAAAAATCTGCAAATATATTATATTATTCTTTGCAGAGAAACAGTAGCAACATCTAACTCAGCACGGCTCTCACTTCATACAGACAGCTGAGGATGAAGTTAGTTCTAGTTTCCTTATATTACGTGTGTGTTGTCAAACCAACTCAACACACACACTCACACACACACACACATACATGCACAACATTCATATATCTCTGATTGGGTTTTAATCTTACATTAAAACAGGAAGGACTCTTGCATCAAACAAAACAAAAGGGATACAGATAACGGGGTGGTGATTTCCGGTGTCTTACTTTAATGTTTCTTGTCACCTTTAGAGAAACAAAAGATTTTATCACCAGAAATAAAATGCTGAGGTGAGACTCTGAGACACTATGTAAAAAAAGTGCTGCATGCCGGACTTCACAGCGGGCAATGAGCAGACCAGCAGTGCCCTCTACCGGGCCAGATAAGACATGCTGTTGATTCTTGGACAGATACTTCAGTCTTCCATGCTCCCTTTAAAAAACAACAGGTTTGGAGGCACTATTTCTTTTCTTCTGAAACTTATCCTTTTCTCACATTCAATCTCAAAAACAGAAATGCATTTCTAGAAACACTTGAACTCACTCACCTGGAGACCGCAAACACACCGCCATTCATGGATCCAAAGCAGGAGAGGGCAACAAAGATCGGAACTGCTAACGAGAAATTTCCCAGTAGCCGCTCAGAAAAGGTCTAGAGAAAGCCAGAACGAAGCAAATTAATGCTTTGGCAGAAAGTGGAATAAAATGAAACAATTTAGGCCAGACTCACTCTATGACTTTCTATTAGCCTGGCAATACGTGTATGTTTTATAAGTCTTCTTTTTTGGTGAGGGTCAGACTAACTTTTTAGACAATAATCAAAAGCAGGTACCATAGCATTGCTTGTTACAAAACTGTGGGCAAAGGTCTAAATAAATGTTTCTCTCTACTTTCAAAAAGCAATGATCCATTTATTGAATCTTTATCAACTATGATGTCTGCCATCCCTGACTCTGGTAAGTGGGAAAAGCTCAGTTCAAAAGTTCTCCTTTTGGAGACAGAAATCCTTAAGTACAATACTTTCTTTTTAGCCTGAAAAGCCACATTTTTGTAGTTAAGTATAAATGTACACTGAGAAGATATTTGTTTCATATACCAATCCTGATGTTATGGCATAAAAGTGTGATGAAAAATATACTGGCAACCTAATCATTTCCATCATGGATATGAGCAGCTCTGAAAATTTTTCTCCCAAAACAATCATATTAGCTGAATCTCTGTTTATGGAGCCACCCGCTACCTCTCAGGTATCTGCTAATTCCTTCTGTGGGTTCCTGGAAGAAGACTAGATTACAAACAGAACTCCAAGGAAATCAAGCCACAGAAAATACAAAAGTAAACAAAACTTCTGAAATATTTTTTTATGCCATGGCATGAACAATTCTGCACATTTCTATAAAGAATGCATTTCCCAAAGATATGTGGGATTCTTTAGTGCCCTTGAAGCAGCTGGTGCCATGTCATTAATGGACCACATTATGCTCAAAGAATAAGTGCTGCCCTTTGTCTAGAGAGATGAGATGACTGACCTGACATCAGTAAGCTTTGCACATTTGACTGTCTGGTCGGACCTAAAGCAGTGGGTAAAGCCTTTTTCATACATTGAACTCAGACATAGGTTCACATAAAATGAGATAATGTGTTCCCTGTGGATGTTGCTGATATGAGGTAATAGTGACTATTTTAAAAGGAACTGACATCTAATGATAGGAAGTTATTTTTTCCACCCTTCATTGTTATCAGGTCATGAATGAATGCTCTCTTACTAGCTAAGTTTTTATACAAAAAAGAAGTATGTGTCACAGAATAGCAGTCCCATAACATGACCCTTGGGAGCAAAGATGGTGTTAAAGTTAAATACATTTTGAAATATGTTGTAAAATTATGAGTATCCACTTCTTAGGGAGGTAAAATGTACATTGGCATCTTTTACATTTGAGAAGTGCTATAGCAACAACATCTGTTTAACTTTGAATAACTCAGAATTTCCCCAAACTAATAACATTCCAGGATGAGTATTCAAAAGGACATACTATGAAAAAGAAATACATATGGTCTATTTGGAAATTCTTAAGTGTACTTTGGGGGAAAAGATCTTAAGTTAGAATTTGCAAGTTTACAAACAGGAAAGAGTGCAGAATAAATTGCAATTTGCATATCAAAAAAACCCTCATTTAAATTCAGCAACTGCTCATCTCTCCTTAAAAAAACACATTGGATGAATAATGCCTTTTATTCAACATGTATATGTAGAAATGTGTTTTCAAGCACATATATGTAGAAATGTTTTACATAACTTTAATGATACAGAAAAATCATATAGGAGTTTGGCTGTATCAGTTAAATGGAATATGCTAAGTTATGATCTACGTTTTTTAGATGTTCATTATCATTCAGGTCAAGAAAAGATGACTGAATTTCAAAACACTTGCTGCTTGAGGGAACTACTATAAAATTGCATCAACTCATTAACCTCAATTCAAATTGGCATTTTCCCAACTTGGACTTACCACTGCCACTGCGTTTGAAAGCAACAGCTCCTCGGCACTAATAGTTGTAAAGTAGGCCACATTTGTGAGCACATAGCCAATGGTTACGATGGCCATGGATATACATATCGCAAGGGGGACGGTTCTGAAAAGCACAAAGGAATTGCTTATCAGTCATATTTGGTTTCAGAGAATGCCTAGGAAAAGAGGATAATGGCCTAATTTGAAAAAGGAATAAAATGGTATGTATAATAATAGCTTGTATGTATGTGTGTATGTATGATAATTATAGGCTCTATTGGGTATGAATAAACATTTCATAATCCTTTGTAATTTAATAAGATCCATGGGGGCTGATACTTTCTTTGTCTTGTCTACTGCTCTATCCCAGAACATATGGGTGTATCCCATTCTTTACTCCATAAATGCTATACTCCATTAATGCATGCATGCATCACCTGGAAGGTTTATTAAGACAGAGATAGCAGCACCTAGCTCAGAGTTTCTGACTCAGTAGGATTGACATTCCTAACAATCTCCTTGGCAATTCTGATGCTGCTGTATTGCCAGCATCAGAAGACCACACTTTGAGAACCACTGCCCTGTGTATCTTTCTAACATGAATTCACTGCCCTGACACCTTTCTGATAACAGTGTACAAAAAGATCTTTAACATTGAGTGTTTTTCCCTTTGGCAGCCTCCCTTGCCCTCAAATAAGTGTATACATTGGAAGCATTAGAGCAGGATATATCTACCTTTCTAAAAGATGGTAATATTAGTTTTGTATATAAAACCAAAAGCACAGAAGTGCTCACAATAATGACTTTGCATTGCCCTGCTTTGAGTTCAAAGGAAGCTCAAGATCATGAGTATCTATTAAAGCAACAGCACAGATGAAACTAGAGGTGACATGCTGTGAAGTATGTATGACCAGACAGTGTTGACACTATGTGGTATCAAAAAGCACCCGGAACAAATGCAATGTTATGTCTTCATTTAATGCTGGGAGAACCAGGGAGTTACTGACCCTAGTAATTTGATTCCATGTTACTGACGACACACATTACTTGCTTAACATAATCTCCTCTTCAGATTCATTCCTGTTCAACCAATTTAAACCTTGAGCTCCCTGCACAAAGGCGATGGGTTTCTTTAGGCACAAAGATTATCAGCCCTCATGGTGCCACTAATGAAGACCTCAATATAATTTCTTCCAAGACAAACATACAGTTGAGAAGCAGGGGGGAAAGAAGGCAGAACCTGCGTCTGGTCCTGAGCTGGGTGTGTTTAGCCCACTAAGACCCAGCTCATTATGCTGAACAGCACTACCAGCTACCGAGAACAGGCAAATCCAGCCCATCGGCAACTCCCATTCATTATGCTGCTCTGAGTCCAACACTCCTGGGGTCAGAAAGCCTTAACCTTGATGGGGAGACACACTAACCTCTAAATCCTGGCATCCTAACATGAAAGTAGCAGATGTTCCCCTTCCCCAGCATGAGGAGGGTCCTGTGGAATTTTCTGTCAACACCATAGCATGCATTGCTAGCTGTGATCAATAAATACTAAATTTAAGCAAAGGAAATCACTAGCCTAATTAAATACAAAGGGGTGAATGACATAAGGTAGATTAAAGATGAATTCAAAGAAACGCTGTATGTAAATGCAAAGGGGTAGGAAAGAGAACATGAAGATATACATGCAGCTTTTCAACTGCTCACTCTATTACTATAAACTTGAATCCTTTCTGCTTTTATAACATTCCAAATGGGGTGTTAAGTTCTCTCTATGGAGGAGAGAAGCAGAGAGGGAGAGGGAAGAGACTTTCCTTGTAAAAATGGGATTAAGAAATGTAAAGGTGCTGCTAATAATAAGTGAGGTGGTTTATTGTTAAGTGAAGTGACCTAACCTGTCCAGGACAGGTAACAGCAGAAAGAAGTCTGAAATCTGGGCTATGGCCCTCCCAGCATAGAATCGAGCTTCCAAGCCCAGTTCTGCCAAGGCAACAGCTCCATATCCTGCCTGGAGATTACGGTCTTTCTGCAGGAGAGTTTCAAAGTAGATTTCAGCAGAAAGTATCCTAAAACATCCAGCCTTCCAGGTCCATTTCCCTTTTTTTCTCTGCTACTCAATAACAAAAACAATAGCAGCAGCTGCTACCATTTACTTGCTGGCTGCTATGTGCCCACATTTCACCAGGTACTTTACATATTTGCCCCGTTGTATCCTTGGAACACCCTGTGAGTGAGGAACATCGGCACGATTTCACATGTGGGGAAATAGAGCCTTAGAGAGTTTAAATAACTGTTCCAGGATACCCAGCTGGTAAACACAAACCCAGAATTCAGCTGCAGATCTAGCCTACCTTGAAGTCAAAGCCTTTTAAACCCTAACGTGGACTCTCTCTCTCTTGTATGGGTCCTCAAACTCTATTAATTTTCAGAGAGATCATAACTGTTGAATATAATGCTTATTGGAAAGTTCTTATCCAGACTGTATTTCTCATATTTTCACTGAAAATGCATTTTCACCTACTATAAAGGAGGGGAGAAAAACTTGTACCAGAATTTTTATAAATGAACTACAATGTCAAGTGAATGTTTTCCAGAGCTTTACTATTTAGGATGGAGTTCTTTTTGTTGTTGTTTTGCTTTAATTTTACTATGAGCCAAATACACTATGTAGATACCAGAGAGGAAAAAAAATCCAAGTTTAAAATACAGGACAAAAGAGAAAAAGGATCTCACCTTGCCACAGTACACAGCATGCACAGTAATTCCTCTTTAGGTAAAATTGAACCATGGGATTTGAAGAGGATATAGCAAAAGAGCCACTAGCTTCTGTCCTTAGGTTCCATTTAACTTTGACAGAAGGAAGGAGGAGAAGGGTTTATAGCTGGCATGGCATAAATGGCACTCATTTATGGAGGAAAGCAGTTGACTTGTTCAGAAGGGCATGGCACCATGTGGCAACTCCTGGGTTTCAAGCAGCAGAGATTAACAGCCACTGCAGAAGCTGATGAGAGCTATTAGGCCATGCCAGAGCAATCTTTTGGAGGGCTTTAGGTGCAGAAGGCAGATAAACCCAGTTAGTAACCCAAGTTTAAGGCAAATGGCACAGGATAATAAAAGGAATTAAAGAAACTGGTAGGGCACCAAAATTTCAAAGCTTGTGTGTTATATGAGGTATCCACCAATTCTAAGGACAACAAAAAGCATTATGTTTAAGCTGAATAAACATGACTCACACCTGGGAGTTCTGTTCTTTTTAAAATGTTTGTACATGTCTGTTATGATTAACAAAATACAAGGGTATTGCAAAGGGTTACTTAATCTTTAAGCTTTTTGCACTATAGATAGCCTTCAATTAATGAGCATGAAGAATGTGAGAGTCTGGTATTTCTGTTAGTTGCAAGTGGTCTTCAATCAGAAGGTCTTGGATAGTCTTTTTTTGTAGGCTTATGTTAAACTGGCATCTATAACCTGCTATGACACACTTGGATAAATGTTTGTTTTATTTGAAATGGTTACATGGAGGTCTCTGGAACATCTGCTTAGAAGCACTTTTATTCAAAACAATAGACCTCTTCAGGAATCCAAATGGTCTCAATAGGAAATAGCAAGTAGCTTATATTTGTCTAAACTGCAAAGTATGGGCAAATATCTTTTATCTTCAAATATACTCATGTCATTTCAAATCCTTTGTGGAATGAGATAGGGTATGAACCAATAAGTAACAAAATTTACAACAATCCATTGAAATAGGAGGTTCCTGAAAGGGTTCCCACTATTTCTAGATAAGGGAACCAAGACTCAGAGAGGTTATGGGATGTGGCCAAGGTCACAAAGTAGTAAGCAGGAGAGCTAGAATTTGAACCTAAGCTTTAAGTTCCACATTCATGATACACCTTGTCATGGTATCATGGCTGCTTTGTGTCTACTGCAACTCTAGGTAGGTCCCTAGAATCCTGAATTACCATGCTGGTACTAACGTGGACTCTCTCTCTCTTGTATGGGTCCTCAAACTCTATTAATTTTCAGAGAGATCATAACTGTTGAATATAATGCTTATTGGAAAGTTCTTATCCAGACTGTATTTCTCATATTTTCACTGAAAATGCATTTTCACCTACTATAAAGGAGGGGAGAAAAACTTGTACCAGAATTTTTATAAATGAACTACAATGTCAAGTGAATGTTTTCCAGAGCTTTACTATTTAGGATGGAGTTCTTTTTGTTGTTGTTTTGCTTTAATTTTACTATGAGCCAAATACACTATGTAGATACCAGAGAGGAAAAAAAATCCAAGTTTAAAATACAGGACAAAAGAGAAAAAGGATCTCACCTTGCCACAGTACACAGCATGCACAGTAATTCCTCTTTAGGTAAAATTGAACCATGGGATTTGAAGAGGATATAGCAAAAGAGCCACTAGCTTCTGTCCTTAGGTTCCATTTAACTTTGACAGAAGGAAGGAGGAGAAGGGTTTATAGCTGGCATGGCATAAATGGCACTCATTTATGGAGGAAAGCAGTTGACTTGTTCAGAAGGGCATGGCACCATGTGGCAACTCCTGGGTTTCAAGCAGCAGAGATTAACAGCCACTGCAGAAGCTGATGAGAGCTATTAGGCCATGCCAGAGCAATCTTTTGGAGGGCTTTAGGTGCAGAAGGCAGATAAACCCAGTTAGTAACCCAAGTTTAAGGCAAATGGCACAGGATAATAAAAGGAATTAAAGAAACTGGTAGGGCACCAAAATTTCAAAGCTTGTGTGTTATATGAGGTATCCACCAATTCTAAGGACAACAAAAAGCATTATGTTTAAGCTGAATAAACATGACTCACACCTGGGAGTTCTGTTCTTTTTAAAATGTTTGTACATGTCTGTTATGATTAACAAAATACAAGGGTATTGCAAAGGGTTACTTAATCTTTAAGCTTTTTGCACTATAGATAGCCTTCAATTAATGAGCATGAAGAATGTGAGAGTCTGGTATTTCTGTTAGTTGCAAGTGGTCTTCAATCAGAAGGTCTTGGATAGTCTTTTTTTGTAGGCTTATGTTAAACTGGCATCTATAACCTGCTATGACACACTTGGATAAATGTTTGTTTTATTTGAAATGGTTACATGGAGGTCTCTGGAAC